AAGTCAATTTTCATTTTTCAATTATTCTTATGTTACCTTATTTAGATTTCACATTCAGCTCTGAAATATTAGTATCAATGCATCTTATAAAAGAGGAAATCCAATTCAGGGATAGTAAGTGACTCTAAGTATCTTTCGTAATCCTCCCACCCACTGAATGTCTTATTTCCAAAGATGACAGAGTCTGCAGCACTGCGGTCACCTAATACTCAGCGAGCACTGAGTTATTTATATAATAAATCTGAGCCGTGGAGTGACTTACTCACTGGTTTCTACAGCTGAATAACCCTGACACAGGAAGCGCGGGAACGGCTGTCCCCACGCACACGCTCGGCTCCTTACCTGGCTTGTCCCGTAGCCCTTCACACCATCTAGAATCTTCTCTCTCTCTCAACCCCTTCACTTTAGAAACTACTGTAATGACTTAAGGGGCAGACAGCCACCTGGAGATCACGAGTTCCACATATTTCTTAATTTTATTTCAATTTATTCTAAAAATGCTTATTCTGGAAGAGCTAAGGAAATTAAGTACAAATGTACAAGCATGTTTACTTCTGCATATATTTTAACTCACATTAAAAAAGTTTTTGATAAAACACAAGAAATTGATACAGTATGTCCGAGCCAAATGCAACAGATTAAGCTACCCATATATCTACATAATAAAATATATATAAATCTATTCTCAATTTCCTGCTTTATAGCATGGAAGACTAAGATGCTTTCCTTAACCACTTTAGGTTTTTTAAGATTTCCAAAGAAATAATTTACAATTTATTTCTACCTGTTCAATGAGTGACTGGTGGTATATAAGTCCTAACTACAGTTAACTCTGAGATAATGAAGATACGAAGGCCCAAAAGAACTAACTGGACAAAATTCAGGGCTGGATTCCTGTGAAGTGAAAATGGTAGCGGCAGGCCCGCTGGGTGTCCCTGTGCAACCGAAACCCACCTACACTTAGGCTGCCGTTTGGCGCCACCTGGTGGCCACTGCCTTCACCATGCACAGGGTGGTAGCCAGCTAGGGGTAAGCAAAGCAGCCCGGAATCAAACAATCTTCTGGCTAGATGGTATCCGCTTTGTGGTAGACAGAGGGTTACAACACCCCTCGGGACAAGCTGATCTGCTTTACAGATTGCCTGCTTCCAGAAATTTCTCTGTCGGCTCTTCCTCCACATGGCTTCAACAATTCATTTCGATCAGAAGTCGGTACAGCTACATTTCTGTTATGGAATGCATTATTACTTTTTCTTTTCAAGAACAAGAAAGAACAAAAACGAAAAAAAAAAAAAACTAACCAGTTCAATTTGATTATCCAGCAAAGTTAATGTGACAGTGTGAATTGTATAGAAATAACCATGTACTTTACAGAAAAAGGAATCCACACATTTTACGGTTGTTAGGTCAAACCACATAGGCACCAGCACTGTCCCCAGTGACACGGGTCTGGCTGCCCCGAGTGAGGGTCGCACCAGCTTCACCTTGTTATCTGGATATCCCACAGATGCCTCAAAGGAAAGGGAAGATCGTGTGTTCCTAATGAAGGACTGGTATTCTGTTAATGCTTAACAAACTGCAACCACCATCTAGGTAGTGTCCAATCAGAAACCTGGACGATCTCCCTGACTTCTCCCTAGTCTAACTGAGTCACGGAGTTCTCCTGTCCATTCTAGACATTTCGCCAATCTCGCCTATTCCTCTCCCTCTCTACTACTATGAATCCAATTCCATCACCTCCTTTAATCTTGATAATGAAATGATCTCTAAACGTAGCCACTTCATCTACCACTATTGTTACTCCAATCTCTTTCCTATGCTGTAGTGACTTTGTAAAAAAAAGATCAGATTAGATCATGATTTCTCTTAGAATTTTTTTTTAAAGATTCACTTATTTTTATTGGAAAGGCAGATCAGATTTACAGAGAAGAGGGACAGAGAGAGTTCTTCTGTCTGCTGGTTCACTCCCCAAAGCAGCAGCAACAACCAAAACTGAGCGGATCCAAAGCTAGGAGCCCCAAAGCTAGGAGACAGGCACTTCTTCCAGGTCTCCCACATGGGTGCAGGGTCCCAAGGCCTTGGGTCATCCTCTACTGCTTTCTCAGGCCACAAGCAGGGAGCTGGATGGGAAGTGGAGCAGCCGGGACACCAACCGCATCCATATATATGGGGTCCTGGTGCTTGAAGGTGGAGTTAGCCATTGAGCTACTGCACCGGGCTCTTGTTCTCAGAATCTTTCAGTTATTCAGCGCAGAACACGTTCCTGCGTGCCACGCATGACCTGATCCTGTCCTCCTTTCCCATCTTATTTCTTACAATGTCCCATCTTTCAGTCTACGCTCTAGACACTAAATTATTTTTAGCTGGCTCAAAAAAGCTTTATTTCATCCTGCCCCTAGGTTTTTACACATGCTGTACCTTCACTCTATTTCTTTTTCCCCATAACTCAGTCTTTTTCTCAGCATTACACAGGGAAGGAAGGAGGCATAAGGGCACAGTGTGGTAGTCTAGTGGCTAAGTCCTCGCCTTGCACACATCAGGATCCACGTGGGTTCATGTGCCAGCTGTAATGCTTCCCATCCAGCTCCCTGCTTGTGGGCTGAGAAAGCAGTTGAAGATGGCCAAAGCCTTGGGACCCATCACCCAAGTGGGAGATCTGGAAGAGGCTCCAGGCTCCTGGTTTCGGATCGGATCAGCTCTGATAGTTGGGGTTATTTGGGGAGCGAAGCAACAGATAAAAGATCTGTTTGTTCCTTTCTCTGTAAATCTGCCTTTCCAATAAAAATAAAGGAAGCACTTCCTCCATGAAGTCTCCCGCGATTACTCCCCAGAGCTAGGTGATAGGCGGTTTTGTGCTCTAGATCCTATCATTTCTCCATTGTGACCATAACTGCTTCCCTATCTGTCCTCATCCCTTACCAGATTGAAAGCTCTGTGCAGGCGAAGGGAGCCACCAACATCGAAGGCATGCAGAACAGAGTTGGCAAACGGGAGGTCTCAGCATTGTTGCAGTGAGAACTAAATGAGAGGTCAAACGCAAAACTTTCCAACACAATGTACATAAAAAGGTGTTACTACATCTTCTTTTAGCATGCATTTTAAACTCTAGCAGCAAGCAACTGTACAAGAGCCTTCCTTCTTAATGAAAGTCTAGACTTGGCAAAACTTTGCCAAATGATGCACATTGTCTTTGAACTCTTTAACCACTCAGGACGTGTCTCTGCAATCTCCTAACGACCCTGTGACTAAGCACACACACCACATGCGTGTCCTAAACATGAGTGCAACAACAAGTTAACGTGACGATCATGTCAGGTCAGCATGATGCCATACACAGGATATTAACACATTTACAAATAGTTGAACTACATCCTTCGGACATGCTTGCTTACTGCAAACACAGATGATGAATGGATTAGTTGAGCAAGGGAAGGTGACAGCGTGAGAATGGAGTGGCAGCACACTCAGTCCAATACAGAGTAAATAGAAGGAAACCCAGAACCTTTCTATTTTCTATACAAGGAGAAGTTCATTTGAAAAATTAATGCAATCTGCTAACTTAGTTTTTCATAAAACATAAACATTTTGTTCTTTCTTTAGAGTACCCAAAGCCATTCAGTTTGCCTACTGATAATAGCACTGAATGATCACCTAAAATTTTTACAGAGCAAAATTCCTTGCTGTTTTCAAAGTATAACTACACGGTCCTTCCAACGTTTGTATACGTGCCCCGGAGCGAGCACAGTGTAACTGCACTGTGATTCTCTTACAGGTTAAAGAAAAAGCGCACGAACAGAGAGAACAGTCAGCAAACATCTGCTGACGCAATAAATAACTTCTTTTTTTACTTGGAGTTTGTACCACTCATGTTAATTTACCATTCATGAAAACAGACTTCCATGTGGACTTTTAGAAGTAGATCAAATACGCAGACAAAAGCCAATGCATGCCAAATTGTTGGGAAGGAAAACAATGATTTCATTTTTTATTTAATTCATAAATACCCAGTTAGACCAAGAAAATAGCCTAAAAAGTGCTCTTTTATAAACTGGGCCTCTACTCCTATATCACCATCAACAACAGTTACAAAAAGAAACTCACGAGGAAAATCATATCACTCAAAAATGTTAATAATATTAAAAAGTCTCATAATATCTGTATTAACATATCTTAACAGTACCTTAAAAATATCTTTGCCAGTTGGCCACTCAAATCATAATTCCACAAATGCAAATTTTACAACAGAGGCCTTTAATAATTACAGCAGTTTTTTTATGCTCTGGAACTGAACAATTGGAACTTCAAATTTTCTGGTACTATACTCTTTAGTAGAAATGACATGTTACAATGCTAATTATAGATTGCTTAAGTCTCATTGAAATTCTTGCTGACAACAATCAAATATCATACCCTGAAATCAGTGCTGATAATCTACTATGGCAATTAAGCCAATTTCAAAACAATTTTGCTGCTAAAATACAAACTTACAAAACCCACATGAAGTAGGATGACGGAATGTGAAATGCAGTGCCACTGGAAGCCGCAGCACTTACTGCCCTCTCATGCAGGTAGTTACTAACTAGGGGAACCAGGCCCAGGGTGGAGTGGCCTGAAAGGAACTGCATGAGGAAAAATATTTCTCCAGCATTATCGAATATAATTAACTCTCAGGGCCAATAGTTGATTGAGGCATATTAAAGATCTCAGAGCACTATTTCATCTTTCGAAAGTTTTTAGCAGAAATTCACGGCATGTCACAGGAAGTACCCCCGCGCTCTCAGCAGCCTCTGATTTCGTTCTCATCCGGTTCACACGAGGTGAAAGTGAAAGGACAATTCAAGGGCACAAAAGGCAGCGGGCGAGTCAGGATGAGAAGGCCCGGCGTCTGACAAACCCTGTTCCGAGCTGGTAACCAAGCGTCCTAGAATCTCGATATTCCTACTCCCCTGACAGTTTCCGTACCAGATCGTCCACTTTGAGCAAAACTCCTGCCACGCGTACCTGTTCTCTCGCTCGTACATCTCCCTGGAGGCGCTTCGAAGCTGATCAATCTCTTGGTTAGTTTTCAATCTGATTTGCTCCAGCTCACCATGTAGTTTATTTTCATATTCTGCTTTATAATGGTCTCTACAAGTAGTCAAAAAGAATATTCATTAATTTTTCTGTGTGTACAAAAGACACAGGCTTTTTGCCCTCCACTTAAGGCTTTAACAGCTTGTTAAGAATACTTTACATACTGTTACTTGGAAAAAGTTAACCACTAAATATAAAGTTCCATAATTCTTTCTTTTAACTTTTTTTTTTTTTTTTTTCAAATTGGAAAGACAGATTTACAGAGAGGAGAGATGGAGACAGATCTTCCACTGGCTGGTTCACTTCCCAAATAGACAACAGCTGGAGCTGAGCCAATCAAAAGCCAGAAGCCAGGAGCCTCTTCTGGGTCTCCCACACAGGTGCAGGGTCCCAAGACCTTGGGCCATCATTACCTGCTTCCCAGGCCACGGACAGTGACCTAGACAGGAAGTGGAGCAGCAGGGACATGAACCATTGCCATTTTGGGATCCTGGTGGATGTCAAGGCAAGGACTTCAGCCACTAGGGTACTATGCTGGGCCCAAGTCCCATAATCCTTAAAAATAACTGTTCCAAATTAGTTTCATCTAAGATTTCAACCTGTTAAATGTTGCTTCAAAAGCTTAGCAATGATACACAATGTTATTCATGATGGATAATTATTCTTCCTTAAAAATATTTTACAAATAGTTCTAACACACTTGATCTTAGCCAAAAAGCTGAGAAGCAATCAAATAGTTCTAACGCATGTGACCAAAGTTTCAATACTGACACATATAGAATGGCCTTCATTTAAAAATAATAATCTTGTGCTGAAACATAAACACGCTACTAACAAAAATATAAAGGCAAAACGACTTTGCCTTTCCATGAAACTTTTCTTTGCTAGGTCTCTAACATAGTCACATGGCGTTCTTTTAGCAAAGACAAGGCACACGTAGGATATTAGCAAGAATGGCATAAAATGATGAAAAATGCCACATGCTAGGGGAAAGATTATGAGTGTGTGAGCTGTCCAAAAGTACACTGCTGCAGCTCACATACACACTTCGCAGGAGAGAGGAGACAGGAGCAAAATGTAGGAATGTAAAACTACACAATACTGTCACCTGGTGCTGCCCCAATGTCACCAATCAGGAAACATTCAGTACACCTAGATTTCCTTCTAAGATACTTCAATCAAAATGTTTACAGTGAAATTTTGGGTAGAGGGAATTAAAAAGATGCCATCACAAACAAGTGGATATATGCCTCTAAAGGAACAGTCTTTTGGGAAACTACAATACCTTCTAAAACTAAGTAGAAGAAATATTTCAAAAGGAAATGAAATGAAGTATCATCTTATTACTGTCCCACAGTCGTCTTAAAAAAAAGTCATAAAACCTCCTTGAGACCAAGAGTTCCTTTAAAGATAACGATGTTAATGTTCATGTTTGTGTGAAAAACAACGTAAATCTTGCCTGGACGTCACGTATTTTTCATACATCTCTTCTCTGGCCTTCTTGGTCTCCTCCAGTTGAGTGTGCAGTCGTTCCAGGCGATCCTCCTCATGGGCACAGCGGACACTGAGCTCCATGTTTTGGCGATTGAGATATTCTTTATCCTTTTGCAGTAAAGTCACTGTCTGCTGTAAGGTGACTACCTAGGTACACGCAGGGACAGAAGGTGAGCAGTGCCCCGAGCAGTGCTGACTCCTCTTCCAGGCTGGCTGAACTCACTTCTTTCATCTTGCTTTCATTCACCACATAAAAATTTTTTCTTTAAGCAAGGGCTAATTCCTACCCTGCAATTTTGCACCCAAAAGGAGCTACTGAAACTTTTTGCCTTTTTGGCAACTGCATCAAAAAGCCAGAGGGTCCCTCCCACAATTTCACCCTAGGCTATTTTCCACTAATATTAGTGTACAATAAAAGCCTACTGATTCTGTTTATAAGCTTACCTCTTTTGATAATTCACTGCTTTCTTTAGCTTGAATTATGTGAGAGGCTTCAAGTATTTCATGTTTTCTCCTAACCTCCATTACCTCCTGTTCAAATGCATCACGTTCACTATTAAAACACAAGAGAAATCCACATATAAATTTTACAGCTCCTATTACGGGGAACATGCTAGAATGCTGGACTCTCCATCAGAGCCTCAGCAGTCACTAGGCCCTGGGGATGCAGTCTTCAGCATCAAATATATGCTATTCAAACTTCTCTCTCATGATACTGTGCAGATAAATATCAATTTACTTTTAAAACTGAAACCAGTAAATGAGAATGCTTTCTAAAGAGTTTTATTTTTAAAATTTTTTGGTATTTTTTCACTACTCATTCTCAATCTTATCTCTAAGCCAAACTTTTCCAGAATGGTTTGATTTTTAAGGTAAAACATGCAAACTTGATGTCCTTTCTATTGTCCTCTTTATTCCTCTACTCGCTCTCTAGTTACAAAAATGAATTTAGCATGTTTCATAGTATGATTTTAAAAACACTTGATACATAATTGTGATCACTATCATTTACTCTGTAATATTTGCTATTACAATATTTTGTCTTCCTGAAGGTGATGCACATGAATAAACATGTTAAGTACACATGCACATATACAGACATTAATAATACATGCACTTCAATTCAATCATGTGCACGCTTCCTCCTCAATTATTTAAGGCTTACATGCATATCTGAGGTCAATTTATCAATAACTATCCCTGTGTGAAGATCCTAAGATGAAAGATACTACCTTATAAATTCACAGTGTAACTACCAAATCAGGAGATTTATTACTAAGATTGTTACCTAACACACAGTCAGTTTTACTTTGTCAGTTGTACCAAAAATGTTCCTTGTGATGACATTTCCTTGACGTAGGGCTGTTTTTTCTGTGCTGCATCAGAATGCCACGTCTGAGTCTCCTTTACCTTGGAGTGGCCCCTGAGCGCTTCCCTGGCTACAAAGGCACTGACTTTAGCTAGAGCACAGGCTGACTATGGAATAGCTGTAAGTCTCATGACTGATGGTTTCTGATGACTGGAACTGAAACGCACTGGGCAGCGATGCTATACAAGTGATATGCCCGCAGAACATCATATGAATATTAAGCTCAGTTCTGGCCATGTGGGAAGTGAGCTAGTGTTTACTCAATCTTTCTGTGCCTCTCCTCAGTAAAGTTGCCTTTCCAATAAAACAAAAAAAAAAATTAAAGATTTATATTTACTTTTAGAAAAAATTAAAAAAAAAAAAAAAGCCAGGTATACAGAGAGGAGGAGAGACAGAGAGGAGAGGAAGATCTTCTGTCTGCTGATTCACTCCCAGGAGCTGAGAGTCTCTTCCTGGTCTCCCACACGGGTGCAGGGTCCCAAGCCTTTGTGCCATCCCTGACTGCTTTCCCAGGCCAAAAGCAGGGAGCTGGATGGGAAGCAGAACATGCAAGGCGAGTACTTTAGCCAAAAGGCTACCATGCTGGGCCCCCCAAAATTGTTTTTTAAAACTCACAATTTACATTTCATTCTGCTGCTGAAAAGCACTTGAATTATTTTTAATACTAATTAACATCTATAATGACCTCACATTTGGAGTGTCTTTTCTCTCCTAGTTTACTTAGCATTCATGTTTCCTACATATTTTTTTCCTTAATACACGAATGAGCCAAGCATAAGGGTCACAATTGGAGACCCTCCTGCTTGCTTTCCTGGCCCACTCCTAGAACATGAGGCTGCTTACCATGCCTTTGGGTCAAGCCTGTTGTTCCTGTTTGGTTATTATTACAGAAAATGAAAACATGCAAGTATATAAAAATAGGGATGATACAATGAACACCCATTCTTGTACTTCCCCACTTCAATCATTTTTAACTCCTGAGTCATCTTCCTTTCTCCTCCATTCATGGCCTCTCTGGATTATTTTAGTGACTAAGCTTTTTAATTTTCTCCTTTCATATTTTATCTTACCATTTTATAGATGTATAGTAGAAGGTTAGACATCAAAATACCAACTCAAAATACCATCTTACCATCACAAACTACCTCATTTTATGTGCTTTTTGTTTTTAAAGACTTATTTGTTTTTATTCAAAAGGCAGGTTTACAGAGAGAAGGAGAAACAGAGAGAAAGATATTTCATCTGCTGCTTCACTCCCCAAATAGCCCCAGTGGCGAATCCAAAGCCTGGAACTTTCCGGGTCTCCCACAGGGGCACAGGAGTCCAAGGGTTTGGGTCGTCCTCCACTGCCTTCCCAGGCCACAAGCAGGGAGCTGGATGTGAACTGGAGCAGCTGGGACATGAACTGGCACTTATATTAGATCTAGGCACTTGCAGGGTGAGAATTAATCAATTAAGCCATGAAGCTAGACGCTCAATTTTCTGTTTGTTTATTTGAAAGGTAGAGTGACAAAGGTAGAGTGACAAAGAGAGCAGCTGAAGAGAGAGATCTTTCACCTGCTGGTTCATTCCCCAGATGGCCAGGCGAGGGCCACGAGAAACAGGTCTATGTGGATGCAAAGGGATCCAGCACTTCTGCTATCTCCTGCATCCCTTGCAGTCACACTTGCAGGTGTGGAGGACCAGTGGAAGAATTTTTTAAAGTACTGTAAAATACAAACTATACATGTGCGTGTGTGTTTTTATGTGAAGACTTCCACAAATATTTCTCTATTTGATCTTAACATATATAATGCAGTTACTTGTATTTGCACCATCTCACAGATAGAAAAACAGGCTCAGAATGAAGAGTTACCTAGGGACATAAAGTTAAGTAATGGTTCACTAAATTTCTGTATAAATAACAGACAAGTATATTCCAGTTAAATAAATATACTTGGCATGGTTATTCAACAGTAACATCCTGGGAAACATACAGTCTCAGATTCTTTTCAAAGAGTGAAGGCCTTTTGCAAGAAAGTAACAGTTGGGGTCAATTGTGGTCTATCGGACTGAGCTGCCCTGTGATGTTAGGTTAGCATCCCACATAGGTGCAAGTTCAAGTCCCAGCTCTCTAACACCCGGAAGCAGCAGAAGATGGTCCAACCCTGGCTGTGGTGGAGAGTCAACCAACAACAGATGGACGATGTTGCCGTCTCTCCCTCTCTGTAACTTCAAACAAATCATAAATTAAAAAAAAAAAAGACCACAAGATTTCAGGTGACTTTCCTGGATGCTACATGTCATAACAACCGCTGTTCCACTCTAACCACTCACCTCTTGACTTTATCATAGTTCTCTTGCCGGTAGTCACCCTGCTTAATTAGCTGTTTGGTGTCTGCTAATTCCAAGGCCAAACGTTGACATCTAATCTGAAGTTCAGAATAGTTTCTCCGATCTTCCTCACAAGTCTATAAATCAAAGAAACAACAGAGTTAACTCAATTGTGCTTAGCTGTGAATGGCCTCGAAACTGAACCAACCAAAACAATCTTCAATGTTTCTATTCAATAATTTTTCTCTACTCAAGGGAAATATTAATTTCTATTTATTAATTTACTAAAGGTGATTCAAAATGTACACAGTGTTTTGTAAATTTCTCCTATTGCTAACCCTGTTGTTCTTGTTATTAGACTACAATGCAAGATGACAATTTTAAATGACACTTCCAACACTGAGTTACCAACGACACAGAAATGAACACACAGTTGTTCTTTAGGAGCTAACAACGGAGAGATAAGGCGCCAAATGCATGCCAGTACTCAGAATGCAAGAACACAGTAAATACAATACAGATTAACCATACAGTTGTGAAAGTGGTGTCGAGTCAAAAGGAGTTTTGTGATCTGCCAAGTGAATCTCCACCTCCCCGGCTGCTTCCCTGTCTCCACAACGGCAGCCCAGGAAAAAAAGAGCGCTGACATTCGGGAAGACATCGAACGGTTTCTATGTATATTTAAATGCTGTATATTTCAGTATTTACCTCATGGGTTCTTGTGCAGATCATATCAAGTAATACACTGTAAAGTGCTTACCAAGGTAGCTGACATGGAGTGAATGCTCATAATTCTAACAGGGTTACAATGCTTCCTCTGTCCTTTGGTTTGCACAGATTGTAGTCACACTGACAGCTCAACTCTAGTAACTGCTCAGACACCATAACAAAATCCAGAGGATTAAAAATGAAGAAATACTCACATTTAAACAAAACACAAAGGTTTTAAGGATTATTTTTTCATTCTTAAATTTACTAGAAACGGAAACAACCAATTACAGTGAGTACAGACCTAGGCGTGTTCGTTACTGCTGTGTGACTGTTGCCAGGAGTGCTCAGTTGGAAACCTTAAGAGCTGAGATTCCGCCAGTCAAGTTTGATAAAAGCAAAACTAGGGGAGGTATCTGAAGACATTGGTGAGAGAAAGAGTTAAGAGTGAGAACAAAGGGACTGGTATTGGTACCGGAGTGGGATAAATAACAGCCTAGATACAGGCACCTCATGTGAGAACCTGCTGGAGTCCTGGCTGCTCCACTTCCAACCAAGCTCCCTGCTGATGTGCCTGGGTTCACAGCAGACAGGACAGTCCCAGAGCCTGGGCCTCTGTCCCCCGACAGAGTTCTGGCCTCTAGACTTCGGCCTGATCTAGTCCCAGCTGCGGCAGCCAGTGAGGAACAAACCAACAGATGAAATACCTTGTCACCCTCACCATCTCTGTAACTCTTTTTTCAAATAAATCAAATAAGTATTTTTTTTTAAAGATTTGTTTTATTTTTATTGGAAAGGAGGATATACAGAGAGGAGAGACAGAGAGGAAGATCTTCCATCCGATGATTCACTCCCCAAGTGAGCGCAACGGCCGATGCTATGCCGAGCCGAAGCCAGGAGCCTCTTCCAGGTCTCCCACATGGTGCAGGGTCCCAAAGCTTTGGGCCGTCCTCGACTGCTTTCCCAGGCCACAAGTGGGGAGCTGGATGGGAAGAGGGGCTGCCGGGATTAGAACCGGCGCCCATATGGGATCGTGGGCGTGCAAGGCGAAGACCTTAACCACTGCGCCACCGCGCCGGGCCCCGAATATGTATTTTTTAAAAAGAGCAACAATATGATGGAAAAGGAAGTAAATGAGCTTGGAAAGAAGCAGATAGCAGAATAAATTGTATGGAATGATTTAAAAAAAAAAAAAAAACAGAAGCAGATGATTGAGAAACACGGAAATAAAGTAGTACATTCTGTAGATCTAACTGAATCGATAACTTCCCGAGTGAACAGGCTCTAGGCAACAAGGTGGGTGGCCCATGAGACAGAGTGTAGAGCGGCAATCAGCAGACACGAGAATGTTGCACATGAACAACCCAGGCAGCAGGTGAAGTGGAAAAGAAACCGAAATCTAGAGCAGGGATTCCACTAAATAAAAACGAATGTCATCAGGCCATCCAAATGATGGCTATAAGGCAGCTGACATGGATGCTCAATAGAAGGGATTTTGTGTAAGGGTGTAAGTGCCAAGATCTAAAACGCAAAGAGTGGTGCCAGCGTGGTGGCTCAACAAGCTAGTTTTCTGCCTGCAATGGTGGCATTGTGTACTGATGCTGGTTCTAGTCCTGTGTGCTTCATTTCCCATCTGGCTCCTTTATGGCCTGGGAGAGCAGCAGAGGACGGCTCAAGTGCTTGGGCCTCTGACCCATGTGGGAGACCTGGGGGAAGCTCCTGGCTCCTTGTCAAGGATCAGCACAGCTCCAGCCATTGCAGCCATTTGGGGAGTGTCCCAACAGATGGAAGATCTCTGTAAATTTACATTTCCAATGAAACCAAATCTTTAAAAATTAAAAATACATGCATTTATACATATACACACATTTGATATGTATATCTGTTTATACGTTTGCATGCATCACGTGTGCAGATAAATTTTAGGCGTATAAACAACAGATGTGCAAGTATGAATATAAGCAGATATTTAGCTCAGGAGTATACATATTCTACCAGCAGATTCTGTATGACTTCTCAACGGAAAAATCTCTCCTTGCTTTTATGTTTTGAAGACCAAAAAAACTTCTTACAGCTACTAAAGGAGAGGAAGATACAGCAATTGAAAACAGGAAAAGCAGCCCCATCTCTCAAAAGAAAACAAATCCCACGAATGAATAAAACTTGGTAGCTAAGGGTGAAGGTAGCGGAAGACTGTTGCATCTTTTCTTTTCTGGGAGGACTCTCAGTGTTAGACGCCCATCTTGTATTTTCTCATTCCACATGTTTGGTAATCTTGGGAAATATATGGCACATTTTATGAGCAGATATTACGTGCCTCCCATAGCATGCAAAAAAGAAACAGGGATATGTTTGATAATCCTAGGACTTAGTACTGCGCTTGTAACATAAAAGGTTTACAATTAGTGTCCATGGAAATGGAGGCGGAGAAGATAACATTAATACACTACAGCAAATGAAGGAAAAATCTAACCTTTCAAAAGAAAGCAGCAGACAAAATTTCCAGTCACGAGTGCTAATAGAACACTTCAACCTAATGGCAAATGGGTTAATAAACCAAGTCTCAATTTCCTTTTTCTATTAAAAAAACCGAAACAAAACAAAGTCACAGTGGGAAAATGCAGGTGATCCGAGCCACTGAGAAGGTTTCAGTCGTTTGTCTGTTTTCCATGAATGTGGAATGGAAGTCACTGTTTGGACTGTCACAGCGAACGTTGTCTCTTCAATCCCCTAAGTTATTTATATGAAGAAATTATACATCTCTGATTACAATGGCATGTTTCCTTGTCTCTAACCATTTCCCTATACTCACATACAATTTAGCAGCTGCTTAAAAACAGGTCCTATCTCTGTACCCTCAGGAACATGTAATGTATCTGTCACAACGACACATTTGCACGATGGACTAACGGTGAGTAAGGGACATTTAAAATAACTCACTTAGGAATAGAAACACCAATCTTCAAAATTAATAAGTACTTTACAAATGACTACTTTCTAACCGAAATGAAAGATTATCCTAATCTGCAAATGAAACACGACCTCCACCACCTTATGCAGTACATATGCCGAATTTCCTTAAGGACTTTGAGGAAGTCAGCATGTGGGAGGCCTTCTCTTTCTGGACCCGGGTGGTCATTAACTGGAGGGAGGGGCACACTTGGAAAAAACCCATCAAGCTATACAGTGACAACTTCTTCATACCTCACACTTAAACACCAAAATCAAGGGGCTCTTGTTAGTCCTGGCACACAGCTGAGCTCTTTTCAGGATAAGTCTGCCGCATTAAGCCAAAATGCCAGACACAGCAAGGCACCTAGGAAGTCCTCTATTCCAGCAGGGTCGGGACAGGAATAGAGGCAGAGGGAGAGAGAGACAGAGTCTTCTGCCATGGTGGCAGGAGGGGGCGGCAAGGCAAAGGAGGACAGAGGACAGCGTATCAAGGGCAGACAGACACACGCCGGAGGGTGCCTTTACTGTGGCGGGGGCGGGCATCAGGGCTGTGAGAGGTTGGTGGACAGGACTGTTAGAGCTGAAGGGGATTAGGGAAGGGGCCAGGAGAGGCTGGGAGAGGCTGTCAGCTACCGTGCCATGAGGTGACAGTGGATTGGTGGGAAGAGGGTTACAAAGTTACAGCAGTTTGGCAGACAACAAAACTTGAACCTGAAAGACACAAGTTGACCTAATGGAAGCAGATATTTAGAACAGTATGGAGTCCAACAGGGCAGGGGCGTCAGGCAGGATGGCCAAGTCACCCCTCACAGCCTGCCAGCACTGCAGTGCAGGGGTTAGCAGACACTGGTGACATCAGCATCCCACATGGGTGCTGCTTCGTGTCCCAGCTGCTCCATTTCTGATCCAGCTGCCTGCTAATGGCCTGGGAAAGCAGTGGAAGACAGCCGAAGTGCCTGGGTTCTTGTCAAGCACACATGGGAGAACTTAATGAAGTTCTTGGCTCCTGGCTTCAGACTGGCGCAGCCCTGGCCACTGAGGACATGGAAGTGTTCTCTCTCTTTTTCTCTCTCACACACATACACACAAAGTGCGTGTGAGACTTCCTCTCTCACTGAATTTCTTTCGAATGAATAAACCCACAAATCTTTCAAAAAACAAAACAAGAGGTTTAGATGTGGGAAATTAGGAACGAAACCTAACTGTGTATTAGGAGTGGGAAGAGTCCATGAGTATCACAGCAAGCAGGAACTGGCAGGGGGCGGGGCAGTGCGGTAAATGGAGAGACATCTGTACACATCTTTGGACTGGCAGCCCATCTGGCAGAAAGGCCTCAGTTACACAACCTCTTAGCTAAGTTACCAACCTCTTCTTTTTGTAATGAGACGAGACTTGTATTCCACACGCCTCCCAACAACAGTCAACCAGTTTCTGTACAGAGCATTTCAAGAGATAAAAGACACCCTGGAGATAAGCT